AATTTCAATGATGCGTCAAACTTTAAGGTACTTTGTTCAACTTTCTCCCCCATTCTAAAGTCATAACTTTCCAGTTTAGCTTCATCAAGTTACTAACAAATTCGAAGGCTTAATTTGGAAGAGGGTTAATTTAAATCCTCTAGCTGTTCTGTCAAACCAAAAATTTCTATTAGATATGTCTTGTTTGGTATATTCCTTTAGATGAATGTGGAACTCTAGAACATAATGTGTTGAAATGTGTGATGTTGGAGTTGGTAATGCATGATCTTAGATCTACGCATGAGAAAAAGATCTAGAATCAAAACATGTAAGGAAGGCCATTATTCTTATTCCTCCACCAATATTTTGGGTACTTTGGAGAAAGAATAACAGAAAGGTTTTTTAGGAGTGGAGAAACTGTGAATCGGGCTATTGACACATGGCTTCATACTTTTGAACCCTGTTTGTAGACATCCCCAAGCAAAGGAGAGGGAACTAATCTGATTAGAAGAGAGACAGTTATTATGGAGAGTGCTATCTATGCAAGAGAGCTACTAGATTTGGCAACAACTTCTACTTTAGTGTCTTTTCTCTCACCAGCTTGGGTTTATGGCCTAAGATCTATGGGGGGTGAATGGGTGATAATTGGTTCTATGAAAAAGGCGTGTTGGCCTGGAGAGGCATCCATACGGTTAGTTGCATAATGAGACTTTAGCAATTATCTTCCGGGCTACTTTATGGGTAATTTAGAAGAAAAGAAACAAAAAAGTTTTTAAGGGTATAGAAACTGCTTTTGATATATTTAAGGAATTCAATGATTCCAGACCCTAGGCTTTTTTTTATCAAAAATCATCCTATTATTCATATGAAGACTTCGGGGACCTCAAAAATATTTTGACAAATTTGTAAAATTTTTTGTATACAGACTGCATCCTTTTGGTGTCTACATGCACTATTATAATTTTTCTTTCGGGGAAAAAAAAGAGAGGGAATTAAAGATTCTCTAAACATGTCTTCTTGTAATTAATATTTCTATTAAGACCTATCCTTTGTATATGATAATGCACTACTTTTTCTATTGAAGAGGAAAAAAAAAGCATGACCAACAAAATCAGATTTCTGAGCAAGCATCTCTTATAAAGCTATAAGCAACGAAAATCCTTCTGACACCCAAACCTCCGTTTCTCTAAACCACTATCTCCCCGGCATACCTGCCTAAAAGTAGTTGCATAATGTCCATCACTATATCCATGTATTTCATCAGCAACTTGATGCTGAAATATCTAAGGTACCAACTAATTTAGTAAGTACAATCCTTTTGATATTATTCTAAGAAGCTTGTATCCAATCCCGCCTTCGCCGAAATCTTTTTTTTTTCCGCATAGACCGAGATTGGCAGAGATGCCAGGGACTAATAAGTCTTAGTCTCTTCCATTAATCAGACAATTGAAGTATATTGAGCTAAAGCCAGCAGATATAACTAAAATAATGAACCATTTTTCTGTGAAGCTTACATAC